GCTTTGTACCATTTCCTTGGGACTGCCTAAGATATATGAAAGAAGCAACAAAAGCCAGTATCTGCATGTTGGGAATAGTCATAGAAGGAGGAATTTCTGCACGTACCACATGTAATTTTCTTCCAAGTCCCTTTGTTAAAATAGATGGTAGAAGGGTAAGACAGATTAAGGAAGAAGGTCACATACAGAAAGGGAATAACCAGACTGACATCCGCCAGCTATCTCCTTTGATCATTCTCTAAAGGTCATTTCCAGTTTGCTCAAGTTAATGCAGCCTGCACACTAAGCTGTGATAAAACTGCAGTAAAAAAGACCAGTACTAGCCTTCTGATTGTCTTTCATGAACATCTTTTACTGTCTGACACCAGCAAAGAGCTTTACATGATCCTTGGGGTTCATATAGCTTTGTTATTAATATCAGTCGTTAAGAGAATTTGTATTTGCATAAAGAGTAATCTGTTTTGCTCCTTCCCCTTTTCAGAGCTGATTTTGATGATTCTGCTACTTACTCAGCAGTTGCAACAAATGTCCATGGGCAGGCATCAACTAATTGTGCTGTGATTGTGCGAAGTAAGTCCAACTTCATGATTAAAACAAGAAATAAATATGATGCTTGCGCCATTGAATGCTTATTTTATGTTCATTTATAGGGTTCAGAGAGGATGAAGAGCCTCATCCAGCTGGGATAATGCCCTTTCACTGTAAGCACTTTTTTTTTTTTTTTCTTTTTGCTTAGACAGTTTATGTCTCTTATCAGAGTAATGTTTTACAGATGAGAAAATTGGATACAACTTGCTTCTCGTGGCTTTGCTTTCTAAGCATTTGGTTACAATAGGAGCTGTCCAGAGGCATTTGCTTTCCCAGATACATTTCTGGATCAGCACACAGGATAATAAAGAGCTTCATCTCCTGTTCAAATTGTACAGTAATCTGTTTGTGCCAAGTGTAATTTACTTATACTCAAAAATGTTTTAATTTTCTCATGCATAGTGCCCCTGTCATATGACGTTTTCTTCACCCATATTGATGTCCAGTTTCTGGAGAAGTTTGGAGTCACCTTTGCAACTGAAGGTGAAACACTGACCCTGAAGTGTTCTATGTTGATCACCCCAGACCTGAAAAGACTACAGCCTCGTGCTGAGTGGTACAGAGATGGTAAGTTAGTACATTGAATACAAGCTGTCTGGAAAATACTGGAGGAAACACTGAGCACATAGATCAGGCTTAGAACATGAGAGTTTCAGAATTAAATTTGGAATACAGTAAACAAATATCTCTAGTTAGAATTTACAGACCTGCACTTTCTTTTGTTTAGGTGACCTGGTCAGCCTTTTCTTGAGCACCCATTTACAGCAACAAGAGGTAATCACATATTAGATGATAACATAATAGTTAGAACATATACTGACTAGGGGAGATCCAAACTCAATTCTTAGATTTGACCATGATTTATAATTGAATGCTGTGACCACTGAGCTGAATGGTACTCGCAGAGCAGTAAATTAAAGTCTGAAGCACTGAGGTGTAGGCGTGGGCCTCCATTTCAATCACACTCCAGTACTTTTTGTGAATTTTATATTAAAATCAATGTAATGTATATTTCAGAAATACTTATAGGAGCCAGGCCTGAAACACATCGCTCTGCTGTTCAAGCACCATGTTGGTAGGTTTCCTTCCTTGCCTCTTTTGTCAGTGAAAAACCACACTATGCCAAGTGAAGCAGTTTTAACAGAAAAAATATTATCACTGAAGCCTATCATATATTCTGATGGATGGTACAAAACCCCTACATGAGTAGTGTTTCTTCATGGCATCAAAAAAAGGCCTTGAAACATAAAGTTAACTGTTTGAAATTTAACAAATAGGTGATCGTAGATATTTAGCTCACCACTTTGAAACCAACCATAATCTCTGTGTAGGATTCTATATTAAACATTCTGCCTGAGACTTAAGGAAAGCCTTTTTTTTTTTTTTTTTTTTTTTTTTTTGTGAATGGTGAGACCTTTCCCAAAGGGACCACATTTGAGAATGATGGATTCCCAAGGCTGATGTTTGGACTAGTCCCAGGCAAGCTGGCAGAAACTTCCTTTGCTGACAAAATGTGATGCATAAACTGACAAATGGCAGTAAGATTAATAAGGCAGTCAAGAAAATTCAGGATTAGGAAAATCAGGAAAAGGATGCTTTTATTGCTGCTAATTATTATGCCTTTTGTTTTATGTACATCGTAGTTCTAGAGAGATTCGGATCTAGTCCTTAAGGGGATGGACTGCTTCTTACTATTTCAGTCTTATTTGTCTGTCTATCACTGTGGATACTTCATTGTAAATAACCCAAAATCGAAGGCTCATCATTGAACCCACATTCTGTTCCTAGTGAAGTGTACAGGGATTTGTAATCACCATAAATAATTGCTTATCTCACTCTGAGGTGAGCCATTAGTTTCAATGGTACCTTTACTTTGTCAAATATCTGAATGGCAGCTGTGATGAACTGCTGATTTTCAAGAGATGCCCCATATTGTTCCACTTTTCAACCAACATGAAATTTTCTTGAGTTATGAATGAGTGAACAAAAATTTACAGCCCTTTCAGTTGAACCCTCTTTATGCATAACAACATTATGCTTTTTATTTTCCTCCTTATTTCATTTAAATTTATATTCTGTGTGAGAGCCTGAGATGAAAACTTGATCTCTGAAATCAATGGGGTTTTGCTAGTGAGCCATATTGGCTTTCATTCCATTATCCTACTTATGTTACAGGAAATAAGATGATACAAACAATCTTAGATTTGTCCTTTATTGCACAGACATGGATCACAATATTTCCAAGAGTGCACAAACAAACACAGTATTTACAGGTGCACAAACTGGCAGAACTTGTTCGCAGACACATTAGGAATTCATGCTCTGTGACCCTTTGCTATGTGCTATAGTTCCCCATGTTGAGTCTCTTGAGAGCTAGAGATAATGCATAAATGTAAAAAATGACAAAGTTAATAATATGTTTAATGTTGTGTGGTAATAATATGTTCAATGTCATGTGTTTTTTTTTGAGAGGTAATACTTAATTCTACTCTTGCATTAAGACAAACTGTATTTTTCCTAAATGTTTTCAGTTTGATCAAATAACAACAACCAAAGCCCTGAGATAGATATGTATGATTTACTTCTAATAATTATACACATGAGAAATATGTGTTTATCCAGCATTAATAAGATTCACATGAGTCAACCTTATTGAGGATGTTTACTAGTCTCCTAGGGGCATATAAGTCAACTGAATCAAATCCTCTAAAGTTGTTTGGGATTTGACAAACATGAATGTGATAGCTATAACTCATGGACCAATTAAAACAATTTAAGATACTGAAAACTAAATAAAAACAATAATTCAGGAACATATATCTCATCTGGATATATGTTTAGCTGGTAACAGGAGCTTTCTATTATTGATCTCTAATGTAATATAAGCTTTATTAAGCTGTACGCACCAGCATTCTGCAGCCATTTTGACTGTAATCTAGAATTAAATAATTTAATACAGAAGGAAAAATCATGGACTATAGACTTTAGCTGAAACTTTAGCAGTCCAAAATACAGGCTGCAGAGAAGATTCAGTGTATAGTAATTCTCCACTCTTTATAAGAATTTTCAGCAGAGTAATATTTTAGGAAGTTTGTCATGTACTGAAAACAGCATGTGAGGCTTGAGTCACACTGTCTCTGAGGGTTGATCTCCTGCAGGTTTGTGCTTTGGTAAATTCTAGAAGTGAGGGAGTACAACATGCAAGTAGACTGGGAATCTGAGTGCAGTAGTGAGACCCTGTAATTGTAATATTATTGTGGTGGTCGGTGCGTGAATACGAGCTCTATTAGAACTTCTGAGTGTGTTTGTGGCCTACAAAATTTACCCTTCTTATCTTGACTAGGAAGCCATCCATCCAGACTGCATTGGAAAAGGAAGCGCCTGCTTTCTTAGGGCATCTGGTGAGGTTTTGGCCTTGTGTGAAAGAGGAGTTTTTCTGCTCTTACCAAACACAACTGCCTCCACTGTTTCTGGTACACAGAAAGGGTAGAAATGGATGATTCTGGCTTTAATAGATAATTCAGGTTTGCCCACAGTTTCTATATATTCAAACTAGAGTGTGTACCATTCCAGTCAATCTTGGAGTCTAAATAAGTGACCTGATTTTCAGAGGTCCTGGTCGCTTATTCAGGATTTTCTACAGAACTTATACATTGGTTGAAGCTGCTAGGTGAAGACATTTTCTAATTTCATTTAAAGTACTTCATGTCTCTCTACACAAAGTCTCAGTACCATTATGACATCCATGACAGAAAGGGGACATGCAGATTTTGTAGGTAAGGATTTAATGATTAAGGATCTCATTGGAAGGGATGTGACTGAGTTTAGTTTGTATGCTTCTTAGAAAACAAATGTATGCTTAGGTGATGATGTAATTTACTGCTGTAAGTTTTAGTAGCATTTGTCTTCCAGATGCTTTATTATCTGAACATTTGTAATTTTTTTATATCTCCTTATGCAATTCATCTGATAGGTGGGAAAGCTGTTTCCTTTGCAACTGTGTGCTCCAAAGTGTATTTAAGCAATAGAATAAAACACATTTGTAGATATTCAGCTTCTTTAAATAATTTCTGCTGCATTGATTACAATAAATTAGTATGCAATAGGTCTTAGGGAGTTAAAAAAAAAAAAAAGTGATCCAATCAATTATTAAAAAAGTTTATATGACAAAGTCCCTTGGCTAGCATAAAATATTCTGCTCAATCTTTTGCTGTTCTCACTAAGCAATCAGATTAATTTACATTAATCATGGGTCATCACCTCTCACCTGTGAGAAATTCAAATTTAATTTTACTCACTGATCAACAGGCATGTATTGAAGATTTAAATTTGCTGTATATTTATTGCAGCCTTAAGATTAAACATAAGTCTGGTTTTTAAACTTGGAGGAAGAAATTGAATAATATGACATTTGACCTAAAGAGGCAGAAAAAGTCATTAAAAATGGAAAAAAGTTCCGCCCTGCATTCAGTACTGAGTATGGCAAGTTTTCATGTCATTGTTTCAAAATGTGGCTAATATATTTTCTGTCAGTGTATTAAAAATTATAGTGATGGAAATTCTATTTTTGGCACTGTGTAGGGTACTCTGAGTCCTCATATTCTGTAAAATTCCCTGCTCAAATAAGTTTAGAGAGACTCAACTTCCTCTCTGCAGATCTTTCACAGCATCAAAGCACCATGACTCTGAATAAAGCTGGTATAAAGGTGAACTTGTGCCCCCGATTAACAGAGAGTTGCACTAGGATGTAGGTTGTTCTGTCCAGCACAGTAACGTGTCTGATGGGTCTTCTCTTCCAGACGTGCTGATAAAGGACTCCAAGTGGACAAAACTGTATTTTGCAGAAGGCCAGGCAGCTCTTTCCTTCACCCATCTGAACAAAGATGATGAAGGTTTATACACCCTGCGCATGGTGACAAGAGGTGGAGTGAGTGAATACAGTGCATACCTGTTTGTCCGAGGTAAACTTTTTATCTGTTTCCTGGGGAGAAATTAAAAAAAGCAGTAGTGATATTAGTTTTATTAAAAAATCACCAAAGAAATACAGCATTGTGATATTTCATAGTTATTTGTTTTATATAGTAGTCTGCGCTACAGTCAACTAACAAGAATGGGGAGCTTCAAGAGGAGTGTGCTCCCGAGGACATTTTCTTTGCTGAAGAACCAACAAAATAATTCTTGTGTAAAAACTAGCTTGTTTTTTTATATTCCAGTTTCCTTTCCCAGTAGGGAATAAACATCTTTGCATACTATAATTCCTCACTGTGATAGTTTTAGTTCTAGGGATTTCCAACTGGGAATAAAAGTTGCTGGACATTCACACATCCTGTGCCTTGCCTTAGGAGAAGGCACAGGAGAAACCACAATAAATATTCCCACCAATGTACCAGTCACAGTCATCTCAATACTCAGAGAAAAGAAGCAAAGTAAGAAATTAGCTCTCTGCAGAAATACAGTTCTCACAAGAGACATAGATAAAAGGATGCAAATGTATTAAAATAGTATAAAGGCCAGAATTTTCCCTCACATTTGCATGCACAAGTCTCAGTGAAGTGGAATGAGCTTCTAAGTGCACCTTTGAGCAGAACTTAGTTTTCATTTCTTTGTTTTCGGATTGAAAGATGAAAATATCTCTGGCTGAGCAGTACTTTCACTCTTAAAAACACCAGACAACGTTCTTGATGGTGGCAAACTGGAGAAGTCCCACTGAAGACACTGGAGCAGTATTAATTTTAAATTTAAGAAAGTACCCAGGTGAAAAAGGCCCACTAATATATAATAGGTTTCCTAGAAGTTTTTGTTGTAGTAGTGTGTCAATTTTATACACCTCTATTGTCCTTTTTATGCTATGTTTTACCCCTTTGTATGCACAGGACCCTGGACTTGAGCTAGTCTCTCCTCAAAAATATCCCTAAATATTTTTATCTATTTGGACATACAGGCATTATGGGCCTGATTCATGAGTGCAGTAAATTAGTGTGCAATGAAATCTTTGGGCCTCTGTTTTATTTTTTAAAAAAATCTGTTTTATTTTATTTATTTGTGGTCCAGATGCTGATGCACTGATCGCAGGAGCACCTGGTGCACCCATGGATGTTAAATGCCATGATGCTAACAGAGACTATGTTATTGTTACCTGGAAACCACCAAACACCATCAGTGAAAGCCCCGTCATTGGATATTTTGTTGACAAGTATGTAAACATTGGGATTTCTTTAATTTTGTTCATACTCAAAAACATGTTTAAACTGAAGAAAAATAAAAGCTGTTGCATCCTTCATTATGTGGGTTCTTTAGAAAAATTTCTTTACAGACTCTCGACACTGTAACTCAGCTGCCTACTATGTGAAAGTACTAGATTGTTCATTAGCCAACTTTTAGCCCAGATAATCTAGTACCTTCTCAGGCAACTCTGGGCACAGTCTGGGAGTTAGCAAGGGCCAGGGGCCATTCCCAGTAATCATTGGCAGGCAGCCATGTTTTATCAGACACTAAAAACGTTCAATAGCATCTATGTGGCCAAATCAGTGAAGGAACCCAGTCAATTTTTAATTTGTAGAAGCCAGAATCCATGGGCATCTTGAGTTAGTCTCTTTGATTTGTATACCGCAAAAGCTGAAATCTAGGAGTTATCTTTTTATTATTATCTTTTAATTTCTTTTCTACATTATCTTTTTATTTCTGTCTTAACCGTGGTACACCAGGAGCTGAAGGCATGAGCTCCCAGGAGCTGGTCGTTTAAATCAGAATGGCAGTCCTCTCTCCTTTAGTCTGCTTTGCACTTTGCTGGGGTTTCAGCTCAGTGCAGGCAGCTGGGGGACAGGGGGTCCAAGTGCTGTTTTGCATGTCTCTTCCACTAAAGTGCATGCTTGCCCTTTGTAGCCAGAGCAGAACATCTGATCCTTAGTGTCTGCGACAGTCAGTCAGCAAAAACATTACTGAAATGGTTTCATCATGTGTACTGCTCTACACCTAAAAGCAACATTTGCAGCTCATTGCCATTTGCTACACTATAATTTGGTCTAGTTCAGTGACAACTGTCTGGGAATTGCTGTAAAATGCTGACTTATGAATGGCAGTCAGTATGAGGAAATTAAGCCCTGGGGACTCTACCATTTCTATCCAATTTGTGCAGTGCATAGATCATGGGAGTATTTCACCTATTTTATGTATAATCTACTCAGCTGTGCCTTTTGCCATTTTGCTTGGGTTACTGCAGTGCCAAAGAGTCCTTGATCGTGATCCTGTTTTTCCTAGTACTGTCAGGGCAAAAGGCAGTCTTCTCCACAAAAGTTTATAGCAGTAGGACACAAACCAGATATGTACACACAAAAGAACCAGTATGCTGGTTCATCACTCTGCTTCTTGGTGAATCCTACACTCTGTGGCCCAAACATTGTTGGAGGGAAAAGCACAAAGATGCTTGCTTAAAAATATGAAAAGAAAGAGATGTAAAAATTAGGTGAATGTTGCAATTTCAATATGTTCTGTGAAGATACATGTTAAAAATGTAAGTGAATAACTTGTCCCTTATATGACAAGGAAGAGAACCAAATGGAAGTGAAACAGAGTTGAAAAGGCCAAAACCCATGAGAGACAAATGACCTTTGCAATGGCATTATGAATAAATATGAGCAAGGTGGGAATTGCTGTCTGATTAGAGGAAAG